ATAGAACTGGAGGTTTGGTGGTCTTCGGCTGTTTTCTCATCAGCCCAGTTCTAAAAAACGGGGGTAACTCAACCAGGCCGGCTATGTTGTCTATATGCAATCAGAAAATAGCACATAAAAGCTCCCAAAGATCCTGAAGACCCCCAGTTTTTGGCATGCTATGGAGGCTACTGTTTTCTACTGCTCTATCGTTGTCCACCCCTTTCTATCTAATGATTTGAACTCGCAGGTGGCGAGCTAGAGAGAGAGAGAGAAGAAAAAACGACATCAATAAGCGCGTCAGTAGCGGGAAAGGCCGTGCTAAACGTCGACCGGAGACAGCTTTGAAAGCTGCTCTCCTCATAACTTCTGTCATTACTGCCGCCAAACCCATCCGCACGCCCCTGTCTGCCTGCTCTCATAAAGCGCCAGGTCCGCAAGGCGTTCAGCACAGACAGATGCCACCGTCGGTACGCCTATTATGTCCACGGTTGCCGACTAGAATGCGAAATCAGTTCTCTTTCATTGTGCTTCGTACGAACCTGAGCTTCCCGTAGCCTCCATAGCATGCCAAAAACTCAGGGTTTTGGGTAGCCGCGGCGACTGTTGCAGGGCTTCTCTTGCTTGCAGTCTTTTACATTAGCCTGTTGTTAGGGCTAATGTAAAAGACTGCAAGCAAGAGAAGCCCTGCAACAGTCGCCGCGGCTAGGTTTTGGGGGTCTTCAGGGTCTTTGGGAGCTTTTATGTGCTATTTTCTGATTGCATATAGACAACATAGCCGGCCTGGTTGAATATATCTACGCGTTTTGTATGTAGGGAAGCGTATGTCAAGTGCATGGAAATACAGTGGCGGCCGGAAGTCTGAACGTTTAGTGGTTATCTTAATGTCTGAATTCATGCATCTCTTTATTTCCCTTTCCGATAACGGGAACAAACAAATGTGAAGAGCAAATATGGAGGGAAGCTACGCATTGAGTCATCCGATTTTAACGAATTTGTTGCGACGTGGGTTAGATATATATCCGCTTTGAAACGTCTTTCTGTGTACTAGGCAAATATCAAACTCATTCAAAATGGCGGCGAATCATATAATTTTATCCGCCATTTTGAGCATTATAAAAATACCTTCCCATGTGTGCATTTTGTGAGTCTAGATCCAAACAAATAGGCAGGAAATTTTCAATTTAGTAGTTTGCAGGGGGGAAGTCATTCAATTAGAATTAGAAACGGGATTTCTGCATATTCTCAGTATACATGATTTTCTTTTCTATGATTATGTGACAGACCTAAACAAGTGTGTAGACCTTAACAAATAAGCAGGAAATTTTCAATTTCGTACTTTGCAGGGGGGGAACATAATCGAATTAGAACGTCATTGAATTAGAAACAGGATTTTGGACTTATTTGCATATTCTATGTATACATGATTTTTCTATGATTATGTGACAACTGTTGGAACATCATCGAATTAGAACGCCATCGAATTAGAACGCAATCGAATTAGAACGCCATCGAATTAGAACGCCATCGAATTAGAACGCCATCGAATTAGAACGCCATCGAATTAGAACGTCGTCGAATTAGAAACATGATTTTGGACTTATTTGCATATTCTAGGTATACGTGATTTTTTCTATGATTATGTGACAATTGTTGCTGATTTATAAGAAAATTCGACTTTTTCAGCTCAAACGCACTTCGAATTAGAAGCGGGATTTTGGAATTATTTGCATATTCTAAGTATGTATATACGGAACATGATGATTTATAAGAAAATTCGACTTGTTCAGCTCAAGCACACTAGTACTTTTCTCCAGACGCGGTATCAGTCACAGTTTGTGCGAAAATCAGCCCGGCCTACGCGTAACATGTGCCCAGGGTAGATAACGGTTGGAGGACTGATTCTCCATCCAGATAAATTCCACATTTACGTGCGGTGCCCAGCTCTGTCAACGGCTAAAGAACTGCTGCGTAGGCATTTTTGTTATGGCATGGCATGCCAAAAACTGGGGGTCTTCGGGGTCTTTCGGAGCTTTTATGTGCTATTTTCTGATTGCATATAGACAACAAAGCCGGCCTGGTTGAATTACCCCCGTTTTTATAACTGGGCTACTCAGAAAACAGCCGAAGACCATCAAACCCCCAGTTCTATAAGCCTGCTACGGAGGCTACATTTTTGTTGTTACTAGGAATCAATCGTTTCCAGGACTACCCAGTTTGAACTGGAAATCTTTAGAAAAATAACGTCGTCACTCCCGTGAATAGTTTCATCAGGTTGGTAAGTCACTGAGTCAAGGGACTCTGGTGTGCTGCAGTGCAATGTAAACCAGTCAGAATTGCCCTGACGAAGGTGACAGACGGTCACCGAAACGTCGGCTGAATAAAAGACTTGGTTGTGTAGAAAGAGTCTCTTTACTTAATGTCGTCACTCTACAGATATCCTAACATTCGTTGACATTTTCTCCGTTTACAAAATCAACTTGTGTCAGACTTTTTTTGCACGAGGGTCTCAGGGCATTACAGCCATCAATCAAAAGTGACGGGGGGCGCCACAGACTTTCTGCAACCTATGATCCACTGCTCACGGAGTCACGTGTGTTATCTGCGTGACGTCACGGAAGCGGTGGATTGCTTATTCCTTGATCAAGGCTGGAGTTGCACAGTCGAAAATTTGGGTAAGTCCAATTTCTTGTGTTGGCAATAGCAGTTCAAACTTGTTTCATGATGACTTGTACTAACACAAATGAACTTCTAAGATAAGCTTTTGTCAGTGTTATGGTCAACAATGAACTACCACAAATCAGCTGTCAAATCCATTTTGTTGTCTGTTTTACAACATGAAACATCAGCATTAGCTGTTTTTAGTGGGTAAACTGACGTCAATGCACGGGTTATTAAACCTACTTCTATTGCCTTCTAATGGAAAAAGATTTCCACAAGGAAAACCGAATGGGTTGACGTATGATAAAGGAAACTGGCGATCCCATGTGGTCCACCCTCCCACTCTTCCTCATTGATTTATCTCAAACTGTACTCTCTGTAGCAATGAACGAAATGAAATCTTTGACGCAACCTCCAAAATTCAACCCTATTAAACTTTCACACATATACAAATGAAAAGAAAACTACTCTCCTCCTAACATCCGAAAACCTACAAATTACAGGAAAAGTGGGATCTTTTGTCTTCCTCTGTCTTCAAAAAATGAGTCAAATCCAGTATTTTTTAGAAGTTAACAGTAGTTCTATGCGTATTAATTGCCTGTTCTTATACCAAATGTTTCTTTGTACTCGCAGTTAGCCCTCGGACATGAATTTGCAATAAATGATTATCATTAAAGGCACGTACTGAGTACAACTCATGCGCCCAATTATGACCTTGCCCTTCATCAAGTCATTACAAGTTCCGAGAAAAAGAAATATCATGATAGCGGTGTTACCAAATTTAAATTGACACGAAATATATTGTATCTACTTAAGAGCCAAGCCGATAGGGGCTATTTTTGGTACGCAGACACTGGCTGTCTCTTTAACTGGATTACTGACCGCCTCTTGCCAATTAGGGCCGGACTAAGTATAGAAAAACAACCACGGTTGAATCAGCATGATTGTAAATTCTAGCTGCTTTGTACATACATGTAGCTCACGTGTTTTCTCGTATACTGCACACTGTACATACAGTGTGAGTTTCAAGATTCAACGATGAAAGATACGCGAGTGTTCGTAAAATGAGGCCACTCAACGTCTGAAGCTAATGCGTTGCAACATTTTCCAAAGATGGCTTGCCAACATCCCATAATATCTCGATGAGCAAAACATCACATAATATTTGTATACAAACAATGACGTTGTCCTGAGAGAGGGACCTGGAGTTTACACAAAAACGTCAAAAGCGACAGCGGCGACACGAACCAAGGGGGTTAGAAAAGGGGCTAACTTCCTTGCCCATACTACTAGAGGCAAATCTGAGGTATAAAAACACGGATATACACATGCAAGTGTATCAGCAAGTCGACACAACAAATACACCGTACATAGAACAATTAATCAATATAACATCGAGAACATCAACTAGATCAAATTGCATTCCTAATGATCTGTTTAAAAGTCCAGAGACTAAGGAGTTGTCGTTGCTGTAGCGGAAGAGTGTTCCAGAGGTAAGGCCCATAGTACTGTAAACCGGTATGTAGTGACTCTTGCAGGTGGACAGAAGAGTAGGTGAGGGTCGTAGCATGACTTACCAACTGTTCGGACAGGGGTGTCCGGTCGTCCTTCGGGAGGTGGTCCTCCAAAGCCAGGACGACGCAGTTTGCCACGATCGTACAGATGATGAAGTAGTCGAAAGGCGTGGGGAGGAGGAAGTCAAGGAAAGGCCGACAGCAGCCCGACAGACCCAAGACAAGACAAGACAAAGACAAGACTGCACCACAACCACACACCACAATCTCTGGGCTAAACTTAATATCCTTGGACAAGGACAGGTAGTTCGGTTGACGTATTCTCCAAGCAGATATTGGGTGAATAATTCTAAAGTTTTCTAACCGGGAGGCTTTTCTGATACGCCAAAAAACAGTTACTCAAGCAACTGGATATGGTTTTGGAAACTGACAGAAGTTTCAGGTAGTACCCACAGCCTTTCGTCAGTGACACTGTAGACTTGGAGGAGAAATGTAGGAGAAAACCTTCTGGGTGTCTAAAGTGTTCTAACCGGGAGGCTGTTTTGGCCTGTACCCCAATATCGGCAATCGACTCTCTTTTTCAGGAAGAACTTTCCTGCTGTTTTGCTGCATCGATTGCTTTTTTTTTGTCAGAAAAAAAAGTAAAATTGTGCCTTTTTGATTTCGTTGTGAAATGTACAAAGTGTGACTTTTACATACACCCAATGTGTCAGCCTTTGCTCTGAGTTTGATCAAGTCACACCAAAGTAATTACAACTTATACAATAGCATAACCAATCCTTGTCCAAGGATAACATCAGCACAAGACTATACAAGAAAAAAAAACGGTGGACTTGTTGGACTTACCAGTTTGATGGAAAGCGGAGTCCTGTCCTTGTTTGGGAGATGATCTTCCATCGCTAGAACTACGCAGTTCGCCATGATAGTGAGGAGAATAAAATACTCAAACGGCGTGAGGAAAATTATTGTCAAGGAACGTGCGATAAATAAAAGTAAACATAAACAACAAACACAAGATTCAACACAAGACGATACGAACACAAGACAAAGACAAACTAGACTTCACATGCACAGGACAACTAAACAAACGTTCAAACCACAAACAATATATATATATATATATATATATATAAACGTGCATCGAAATCATGTCATATAATATTGTATATTATGCAAATAGAACTGTATACTATGCAAATAGAAAGGGTATCGGTATGTGCATACAAAATTACCAGAATAAATTGAATAAACCGTGCTGAGAAAAAAACTGCAACGTATGTAAAAGGGGGTTCTTTTGTAATTATGAAAGTCCCCAGAGGGTATTATATTGCTGCAGGAAAGCGCGCTAGCTTTTGCCTGTGGCCACGCCTTGGCAAACATGTAATATAGTCATGTTTGCGGCATGCAACCGCGCACTGCCATCGCATAACAGTATGCCATACATACAAGACAGGTAAGAAGGGCTTACATGGGGGGGGGGGAGAGAGAAAAACAGAGACTCGCATCAGAACTGAGGCGCTTTAAGCGCAAAACCAAGAATAAGTACATGGTGTAGATGAAGTACTTTCATGGTCTTCTAAGACCGACGAAATGCCTACCTTCTACTATACAAGACATACATTTCGTAAAAAAAATAGTAACGTTACATTTTAGTTTTTAAAAACTTCAGAGCATAATATGCTTTGAGGGGAGGCCGAGGGAGAAAACGTCTGTTGCAGGCGATTCGCGACTGTTTAGCAAAATAATTTTACGCGCACTCTGGTGGGGAAATTCCAGTGAACTCATTGAATTTCGTTGCAGTTCCTAAACTTATACTAGAGAGCACAAAGAGGTGTCCAGATTCAATACACTAGAGTCATATCATGAATCTATTATGAAGGGTTCAACCTAGGATAGAGCAAATTATGGAGGGGCAACTTTACTGAGCTCACTGAATTTCGGTGCAGTTCCTGAGTTTGACCAAATTGATACTAGAGAGCACAAAGAGGTGTCCAGATTCAATATACTACAGTCATATTACGACCCGGCTTGCCATTGCAGAATCTATTATGAAGGGTTCAACCAAAGATATAGCAAACTATGGAGGGGCAACTCTACTGAACTCACTGAATTTCTGTGCAGTTCCTGAGTTTGACCAAACTGATCCTAGAGAGCACAAAGAGGTGTCCAGATTCAATATACTACAGTCATATTATGACCCGGCTTGCCATTGCAGAATCTATTATGAAGGGTTCAACCAAGGATAGGGCAAACTATGGAGGGGCAACTCTACTGAACTCACTGAATTTCGGTGCAGTTCCTGAATTTGATCAAACTGCTACTAAAGAGCACAAAGAGGTGTCGAGATTCAATGTACCAGAGTCATATTATGACCCGGCTTGCCATTACAGAATCTATTATCCAGAGTTCATCCAAGGATAGAGCAAACTATGGAGGGGCAACTCTACTGAACTCACTGAATTTCGGTGCAGTTCCTGAGTTTGACCAAACTGATCCTAGAGAGCACAAAGAGGTGTCCAAATTCAATATACTAGAGTCATATTATACATGAATAGAATAGAAGATGGACAACACTTAATTTTAGACTGTACTTTATATTCTAATGAGAGATCTGTCCTTTTTAATTATATCAAGTTCCCATACTTTGAACACCTAAGCGCAAATGATAAATATTTTTGATGCGTCTAGACAAACCCTGTATCACAAACATGATCTGCTTCCACATTTTTCACTGTACAAAAAAGCGAGAAGAAGTTGACCCCTCTATATTAGCTCAGTGACTAGAACACTTTGTATTAGCCTAGTATAGTATCATTGTATGTTCCTTATGTATGTATGTCTAAGTCAAGTAGTGCATCTTTTGTCTCCAATTTGCTATATACGTTTGTTATGTGTCTGTTATATCTTGACCTGTACCTAGCCCGTCGTGGCATGAATGTACAATAAAGGTATTTCATTATGACCCGGCTGGCCATTGCAGAATCTATTATGAAGGGTTCACCCGAGGATAGGGCCAAGTGACACTAATATTACACGGCACCGCGCACCGCTAGACGTGTGATGAAATTCCACGCGACCAAAAATGCGGGCTCGATATTAAACTTGGTCCAATCACAGTGGAGAGATATAAACAAAGTGCATGGAATGAAACTGACTCTGAAAGAAGATTCGATGATAGTTCGCATTTAGCTACGTGCGATGAAATGAATGATATAACCGTTTCAATTATAGCTACCTTAGCCTATATTAGAATGCCTAACTTTCATCTAGGTAATTCTACACATTACATGGTTTTCTCTCTCATTAATAAGTATGCGTGCGTGTTTGCATGTGTGTGTGTGTGTGGGGGGGTGCTGGTAGTCAATGAAAGAAAAACATAACTGACAACAATACAATATACCACGACAGTACTGGGTGCCAATAATCACCGTTGATCCAAAGCCTTGATTCTATGACAATGTTACTAGTGTGCAAACATTTTTGACTGATTCTAAACTTTTTTTAATCCTTTGTAATTATAATCCTTTTTGTAATATTTATATTCACAACACCCCTATCAGTCTTACTTGAAATGGAAACCTTTGGTCATTTGTTTACACATATTTAATTATTAATGTACATTTTTTCTTCTTATTCTGTGCTTTATGTATTGTTTTCTGCGTTGGTGGCGGCATGAAAATAAGTTTAAATCTTGAGTATGCCGTCGCCATGTCTTGTCATTAAAGTTTGCAGTAACATAGAAATAATAATATGCAAGAACGAATGTATAGTAGACAAACTATGTAATGATGTTTCCAGATGTTTCAAAAAGAGAGAAGAAAGGGTAACTAACAGTAGATGGTAGGTAGTATATAGTATTGTTGTATTATATAGACTCCCAGCACTAGCATTAAAATATAGCGTTCCAGTATGCAATACTCATGTTTTTATCCTCTCGACCACATTTGGTCACATTTGTGCATTTGCACATTTGTGCATTTAGCCCACGTTTTCAGTCCGTTCGTTTACGTGAGCCACGACAGGTGCGCCGCCCACCCATGATGCAGCGCGCACGTACGTTGCTGACGTCATGACCGTCCATCAGTTCCATTGTCGTGACCTTCTGGTATGACGTACTCGGGAACAATGACCCAGATAGGATGGCAATCGATTTGACAATCGCTAGATCATCTGAACATTTCTGGCCTCTTTAATGGCATCCAATGCGATTTCAGGGCAGCAAAACTGGAAATATTTTGAATAAGGCATGTAGGTAAAGGACTAGAATATTGTATTTGAAAAATCGGGTTTCCAAGGTCTAAAAACTGCACTGGATGCCTTTAAACAGTTACCGAGAAATCCTTTGTTGTTGTTTTTTTTTTTGTTATATTTTGAGCTATTTGGGTCTTCAATTTATAAGTTAGAGAAGACATGTTAATTGTCGTACTATTTTGTGTGGGACAATATATCGCTCGAACATCTAAATATCTCTAGCTTCTTTAAACAGTTACATCAGAATCATTTATAACATTTATTGAGCTAACAAACATGTACTTGGGTCTTCACCTTAGAAAAGATAATGTTAGTTGACATGTTTTTGTGGTAAGATATTCTGTGCATCTCCTCACACTATAGCTAGACGTTTAGGAATTCTATAGCAGGAATATGACCCCACCGGGGTCTCTGTGTAGGTGAAAAGATCGATGAGGTATTTTACGACGCCATGCAACAAATGCGGCGGGCGGCTTTCTTTAGCCGCCATTTTGCATTCTATCTCTACACGTAGAAGTAGGGTATTTGCTCTCAATACACAATCAAGTCGAAACAGTAGCCTCTGCAGGCTTATAAAACTGGGGGTTTGGTGGTCTTCGGCTGTTTTCTGATCAGCCCAGTTCTAAAAAAAAACGGGGTAATTCAACCAGGCCGGCTATGTTGTCTATATGCAATCAGAAAATAACACATAAAAGATCCCAAAGACCTGAAGACCCCCCAAAACCCCCAGTTTTTGGCATGCTATGGAGGCTATGGAAAGAGGTGAATGCTACTGGTGGCATTTTTAGTAGCTCTACGCATTTCAGCTGTGTTAACAGTTTTCTAATGGTAGCTCAACGGAAAACGACATTTTTAGCCGCCATTTTGGATTCTATCTCTACACATAGCAGTAGAGTATTTGCTCTCAATACACAATCAAGTCAAAACAGGTGAATGGTACTGGTGGCATTTTTTAGTAGCTCTACGCATTTCAGTTGTGTTAACAGTTTTCTAATGTTGACTTTAACAAATGCGACGGGGCCGCCATTTTGGATACTGTCCCTATATGTAGTACTAGTTAGTATGTATTTGCCTTCAATACACAATCAAGTCGAATCTGGTGAATGGTACTGGTGGCATTGCTGGTTGAATAACTCCACACATTTCAGCTGCGTTAACAGTTTTCTAATGGCCAGGCTCAACGGGAAAACGGTTCGCTGTAGGCAGTAGCTTTAGAAAATGTACTTGCCTCTAGCATAGCTGACGACGCCCTTTTAAAAAATGAACAATTTGCAGCCTAAGCGCCCGGAATGGTTAATCTACTGGGAAAATGTCGCCATTTGGACTACAGGACTGTAATAGGGACACCTGGGTACCGCTGTCGTAATGGCGTGTTGCTATGACAACGGGGTGTCGCCATGGCAACGGGGTGAACCGATCGTCTGATACGAGATGGCCGGGCACGTTTGGAGCATAAATACTCCCCCCGATTTGAAACCATCGGAGCATCGATCCACAGAAGCAATCAGTATGTCTAGAGCCCGTTTTCCCGTTTTTATGGCACGCCCCATCAAAGGCTCTGATGTAAAACGGAGTGCTGCTTTCAAGATATAATCGTAAAATAAGACGGAGGACGCTTATATGAATCGGCTGGCGAGAGAATGCTTCGTATCGAGGCGGGGCAGTTGCAAAGGAGGGATCTATAAACGTCGTTTGGCACTC